TTTTCTGACATTTTATGTATTTAATTTAGGGGTTAGGTTGCCATATTTATTCATTTCGCGCCGGATAAGGAAGGGATTTCTCAAGATGGTTAACTTGTCCCTCTGTTATAAACTCATTTTCCCTCCAAGAGAAATGGCACGAATATCTGTCAATGGTGTATTTGAACATTTAGATTGTTATCCAATAGCTAACTCTCAAATATCAACGATTTGTCCCTCCAGATGTTTAGTCCAATACTCCAGTTTTCTCAGTGTAGACTGTTTATCGATAAAATGGAATAAATCGAATAAATCTTAACTGATTTTGCTCAATCTTTTTTTGTTGGATAAAGAATGATACTTTTATAAAATTGAAGCAAAGAAAATTGAAAAAATATCGACTTTTTGAGATTTAGACAAACCTAGAGACTAAACTTTTAAACGGCGTGCAGGCACGCGGGTGCCTATCAACAGGGGGCGAGCTATATGGCTAACAATGGCGCGCACAAGTGCCTGCGTTCCTAGCCTTCCCCTCGGTTCTATCATGAGGTAGATCTGGGCTAGCCATAAGCCATTCATTTTGTTATTTGGGTATATTTTTGGTATTTTCAACGCTAAATCCAAATTTGAAGTCAAATTTTGATAATTTAAAAACTAAAATCCAATATGGCTGCTCAAAAGTGGATCCACTATTTTCAATTTTGATGACAGACTAATTTTTTTTTTAATTAATTGGATTCGCTTAAAACTCGTTACTCGCAGATTTTAGGAGTCGATGATTACAGATAACTTAATAAATTACGATACATTACATTTTTTGTTTTGAATACTACTATACATGTGTAAGATAGAATCCTTCACAAATGGTAAAACACATTTTTCAAGAAAATTGTTCATTATTTCTTATAATTATAGTATTTTGTGATCCCAGTAAAAAAAATAATTCAAACGGATTGAAATGAATTAAGATTTTTGGTAGAAAGCGGAATTCATTCAAGCTTTTTTTATATTCGATTTAATTCGATTCAATTTGCCTGAAGTTGTGCAAACGAATTGTTTGTTATAATTGTTCATTATTCCTTATAATTATAGTATTTTGTGATCCCAGTAAAAAAAATAATTCAAACGGATTGAAATGAATTAAGATTTTTGGTAGAAAGCGGGATTCATTCAAGCTTTTTGTATATTCGATTTAATTCGATTCAATTTGCCTGAAGTTGTGCAAACGAATTCGCATTCGTAAAAAATGACCAAGGCATGCATTGAATTCGTGTTGACGAATTAAAAAAAATTAAAGGCCCAAAAACTTGTCCATTGAATTAGTATGAATAAAAGGTTTGGAAGTTCAATACAGTTTGACGAATTCAGGAAAATTGCAACATAGCTCCAATTCGTATTTGTCACAAAACGGGATTCACTGAAACTCTTTGTGAATTCTTTTTAATTTATTTCAATTAGTTTTTGTTTACTGGGATGTTGTACATAAGAAAAAAACATTGTTTTACTGTTTATCAAAAAGGTACCATAAAAATTAAGTGTTTTCATTCATAATATTTTCATTATTTTTACACTATATTTAATCCGATATTTGCAATTTTTATAACTTTAAATTCGTAATAAGCGACCCCGAAAATCCCCAAGGAACAAGTTTGAGTCGAATTCAATTAATTTCTAAGAATTTTTGAAAAATTGTCTACTGTATTGTCGCCATATTGAATTTCGAAAATCTGACATTAGATTCGTCAAATTTTGGACGCTAAAAAATTTGTTAACATTTTGGACCCACTTTATAGATTTTCCTCCTCACAGCGAAGGGATGAAGGGAATTTTATACGTTGCGTAAAAATTTTTGAGTTATGTTTGCCTCCTTTGACCTAGAATTATGTTATATATAGAATATAGCCTCTATAAACTACTACCTAACATTAAAACATTATGTCTATTTCTAAAGCTAATTACACATTTCGCAAAAATTGTTAGGTTATGTTCGCCTCTTGACTTTCTTTTTCTTCTTAAATGACTTTAGGCACCACAGACTGCCAGAACAACAGTCTCCTTACCTAAGGTTATGTTAAATATGGACTGAATTTTGAGGTTATACTCGCTTCTTTTCACCTAACTTAAAAACATTAGGTAATGTTACATGTTGCTACAAAATTTTGAGATTATATTCGATTATTATTATTGAAACAGCGGCGGCGATATCTTTTTTGAATATAGATAGATATATATGTCAATATATACATACCGTTTTTTCATATTCAGCAATGAAAAGAGTAAGGTAAGTTGTAAATTTCCGGAACTTCATCTAAACAATAGTTTAATTAAGAAAATAATAGAAATTAAATTATAAGAGACAAAATTTATCATGGAGATCTCATTGTAAACTCAAAAAAATTAATATATTTTTTATAAATTATATTTTTTTAAAGTTTTACATCAAAAGAGTTAAGAGTCCTCATACCTATTTATTTGTTGTAATTTTGTTTAAAACAGAACTACAAAATTTTAAATCGGTTACGATCCCAACTTTAGGAATCGTAAGTAGTTAAAAGGTGATTAATATCACACTCTCTGTACTAGAAACATTGCAATGAGATAAGAAGATGAACAGTTTCTAACATAGAGATTTATAAGAATAGAGTGCGCGAAGGGCCTGACATTGAAACGGTGTAATAGAAGGAGACAGATAGTATTCTCTCGTCCACGTTCTTTCTTTATCTAATAGCGCACGCGCAGTGATTAGACTGATGGTTGAAAAGGTTAAAAAATAAACAAGACCACGAGCATACCACGAGTGCACAAGACCTTCTTTATTGTTTATGTAGAATGTAGATTTTAATTGTAGAATTTTAATTAATTTAATAATAAAATGGTTCGTAAGTTCATTTACTGTCACAAAAGAGTGACAAAACAGCAATGGCACAACTTTTCACCAGTAAGTTTCAATAAAATCTTATGTACATATTTATTCATAACCTCAAAATAATATATAGTAATTTTGTTCATATAAACATGAATTTTTTTTATTAAAAAAATAGATTTAATAAATGTTATATTTTTTAAATAAATTATCTAATTCGTTAAATTATTCACAATAAATCAATTGATTAATCGTAAGCAATATTTGAATACTAAATATAATTAGGGTCAATTGGGGTAAATGTAAACGGAATATTTATTTTTCATTAAAAACATTTTTTTTTGTTAAAAGGTAAAACGGACGGATTTCTATTGCATGAACTTGTTACTAGAGTTCCCTAGAAAAATTTTATGAGGTACAAAAAAATATTGATGTACCTTAATCGTCTGAAACTGACTGTTTCCTTTTACCCAGAGATTTTGAAATTTTCCTATTTAAGTATATTGTATACTTAAATTAAATATTATACTATTCTTAAAATGAGAATATATTCTTATTTTAAGAAAATATATTTTGGTATATATTTTTCTTAAAATATATTTTCTTAAAATAAGAATATATTCATACTTAATTTAAGTATACAATATACTTAAATAGGAGCCAAGAATATATTCTTAAATTTAGATTATCTTTTTTTCTGTGCAGTAATACGGACAAATCACTGTAAACCTATAAAGGTATGCTTGGGTAAAAAGACGTACTTGAAGAATAAGAGGTTAAAATATACTATAAAAAAGCCAGAAATTTTTTTCAGCTTACCAAAAAAAAATTCGCCACTAGTGGTTGTATTGCATTTACTAGAATAAAACATGACTATAGAGAAATTAATTAATAAAGACAAAGAAGATAATTGTACTGTCACACTGGATAAACTGGTTTCAAAAAGCCCAGATGCAATCCAGGACACAAAGAGAATACGTTATGACCGGTTCTCTGAGTTAGGCGAGAAGACCCTATAGTCAATCTTTTCTAGGCGGACAACGCCTAAGGAATAACGTCTCACAATTATACATTTTTCATAAAAAGTATAGGATACATATACCTAGCAGAGAGGATTGGTACAGTGGATTAGCGTCTCCCCTGAAAAATAATGATATCTAATACACAGACTGAGTGAAAAGAAAAAATAAATCTGTTGCGAGAGATTATTACCTACACTAGAAAAAATTTGGTGTGATTTTTGTTGCGTGTTAAATTAACCAATGTTAAACGACATAGAATGTGGCGCCCCCTATAACGGTTAAATTTGTTGCGTGTTATTTTAACACCAAATTCGGTGTTAAAATAACACTTTTTATTTTCTGCTCTAATAAGCCACTCGTATAGTTAAGGATTCACCACAGCCATCTTACAATAAAAAATTATGGGAATATTTTATTGTGCTTGCGAGAACACTACATGGTAGTGGTGAATCCTAAACTATACGAGTTCAATTAGGAGTCATACACAAACTACGTAAGGCTTTAAGGGGGGAGGAGGGGTCAAGTTAAATCTTACGAACAGCAGAAAAAATGGCGCTAATGTATAGAAAATTTCTTACGATGGGGGGAGGGGGGGTCAAAATTTCTGAAAATATGCCTTACGTAGTTTGTGTACGGACCCTTACATAGTATATTCAAGAGTACCCCTATATATAGGGGGCTAGTTAATTCGCTATATCTAATGATATATCATTAGATATAGCGAATTAACTCGCTGAAACAGTAGCTAGGATACAATTTATTGGTCTCTAACTTTTAATTAATGTATCTAATACATGCTTTGTAATTTAAAAATTGTCATAAAACAAAACACTATAAGGAATGGAACTCTACAAATGGCTTAATGCAAGCTAAGACATTAATTGAAATTAATACAAATTGCAAGATATCAGCGGAATTTACAAAACTTAAAAAGAAAGAGGTGAAATCATAAACAGGGGTTAACAAATTTACAAATGGACTTTTTAAATTTAAATTAGTGATTAAAGTACATATAATTCTGTCTCTAAAAATGACATAATTTTAACATAAAACTAGTTAAAATAATAAAATTTTAAATCTAATTAAATAAAAAATTTAGTATAATAAGTAATATAAACCTTCATTGCCACATCGATATATAAAATATCAGCGTTATTTACACTTCCACATTTTAAAATATTCATTCCTAAGTCTATTTTTTTATAATGATCTTTCCTTTTGCTTAATGCTTCATAAAATTCCGTTGGATCATTATATTCATTTTTCCCCATGATATTGTTCTTAAGTCACTGTAAAAGAGGATATTATTTGGATTTTTTATTGTGGTTTTGGTGTATCAGCATACCATGATATGGATCAGTTAGTAGTCTTTAAATTGTATTAAAATATAAATTATGATAAAAGAAAAAGTCCATTAAACACCAATTTGTAGTTAAAAATCAACTTCAAAATATAGTTAATTATTAAATTAACTCCCTTTTGGAGTTAATTCTTAAATTTACTGTGTAAATTTCTACTCCCTTCACTTTAACACCCAAATGAGTGCGACTTTTAAAGAATTCCCTGGGGAGTTCAAATTTAACTCCCGTTTTTTACAGTGTAATAATGTATTCTACGTTGACAGATATTATAATTTTTAGTCATTGTATTATGAGACTATAACCTTCGAAATCTTTAGTTGAGAAGTTAATAAAACTTTAAGTAACTCTTTAAATTCACTTAGTTTTTCCATGTTCAGTCAATTTTCGCATCGAACATAAAAAAAGCAATTAAAGAAATTACTTAAAGTTTTATGAACTCCGTAGGCCAATTTTTGTTTGTGAAGAATGAAAAATGTAAATGCAACAAATAAAATTTTAAAAATATTTAAATGTTTTATTAACCCATTCAGTCCCATAATTAGGGCAATTAAAAAATATCTAAAATAGGTATAGTACCTATGGTTTTCGGGGTCGCTGATTACGAATCTGGAATCAGATTTTCAATCTGATTTTTTATCTGAATTTTATCTGAATTTTTTTAATTTCAAAATGGCGGAGTCAACATGGCGGACGATAAAGTAAAAAATTAATCAAATTTACTTGAAAGTCGTCACTCGGGGGTTTTTGGGGTCGCTGATTACGAATGTGGAATCAGTTTTTCCAACTTTAAAATAATGGATACAATATGATAGTCAAAAATTAAAAATTGACCATATAGGACTCTGCCATTGCCGTCCCAAGCCCGCATTAAAAAAGAGAAGGGTGTTTCCAAATAAATTCGTAACTTTTTATGTCCGCCATATGGATTTATGGATTCACTATTTTGAATTTTTAAAAACTGTTTTTAGATTCGTAATCAGCGACCCCAAAAACCCCCAAAAGACCATTTCCAAGCAAATTTGTTTAATTTTTAATTTTTGTCTGACATATTGGATCCACCATTTTGAATTTGAATATCTGATTTTAGATTAATATTCAGCAAACCCCGAGAATTTAGAAAACAACCATAATTTAAAGTATATATAATTATGTTACTGATTTAATTTTATTAAAGTTAACTTTAACCTGAAATAGTGCGTTGCCGTATATAAGTTTGTTAATAACAAAAAAAACATAAATAATATAGATTAATTTGTTAAAAAACTACTAAACCCTATTTGTAGAAACATAAAAATAAGAAATATGCAATTATTTAAAGTTTTCCTCTAAGTTATGTTAAAAAAATCTGTGGTTTAAAAGGTGGTCTATATATCGATCACTGGGACTGAAAGGGTTAAACGATATTGCAATTTTAATATACGTACATTGCACAAATTTGACAAAATTATGCTTTCGAATAAATTTTTTTAAACTTCAGAAAGTTAATTATATTTATAGTCCGTTAAAAAAATATAAATACCAATAAATTTTACCGACAATACAATAATTAATGGTAATATAACATAACCTCTATTTCTTTTTACACAGAGTGTGTAAAAAATATAAAGATTATGTTATATTCCAATTGATTACATCACACCGACCAGAAAATCCAACTTTCTGGCCAAATATCGTAATGTACTATTAAATTATTTTATAAAAAAATTTTAACTTACAAATTTTTATTTAATTAAATACGTGTCAGACAATAACGATTCCAAATGTTCATTTTAGGCTTTGGAACAGGTTCGTAGAAATATATCCAAATGTCTATAATTTTTGTAAAATAATTAAAATTTTATTTTTCTATTAAATTAATTACTAAAAGTATAATTTAGGTAACAATTAAAGGAATTATTTTAACTAAAACAAAGTGTAGGTGAGACTATGAGGATAAATGTTAAACTGTCAAAACAGTTTATATTCATTATCTTTCGAACGAAAATAGTTAGAGGATTGAAATTTTGATTATAGGAGGATGTGACATTCTGTTCATTTTTATGATGTCCATAATACGAAGTGTTTTTTGACCCAACATTTGTAAATTTTAACATAAAAGAAAATTTCAACTTTTAAGTATATTTTTTGTAATTATTCTCATAGCCAAATGTATTTTAGCCTATTTGGGTCCCCTGTAGATGTACCTAAAGGTATTTGCTAAAGCTTTTGTTAAATAAACACATAGATCTTTTCCCTTAATATATTACAGATAGCACGTAACCTTGCAACAATGTTGCCATGCAAGATTTGCAATATTGACGTGTAACATTCTGGCAAGGTTGTCTTCTAGGCAAATATTTAATTTTATAATATTACATAAATTATTTAATATTTAATTTTTATTTATTATAACATAATTATAACAACGTTATAATAAAACTGTTATTAATTTCACCAAAAAAGCTTATCGAATGTGATATGCTCTTAAGCCTACTTTTATTTATATAAATAATATTATAATGTTAATAATAATTTTTAAAAATATTTTTATAACTAACCCTCCACACATTAATTGCCTGGTTGACAAATATATGATCATATTCCTCTCCCTGTCACGTGGCTTTATCAAACTTCCCACAAATATTCCTTTTTTTAATTGGGACATACGAATTTCTTCGTCTATAATTACTTTTTGTAGTAAAGCTAAAAAATAAATACATTTTATATGTATTTATGGTAATAAAATTGAAAGAAGAATACGAAATTCATAAAAGAAGTAATGTATATTTCATAAAAGTTTTACTTTTTAATTACGATCAATAAAATATTTGTTTCCTTAGAAGGAATTATTAATATAGATCAAATGCATTGTATTTTATTTAAAATTATTATTTATTATACCTATGTATTAACTTAAGACAGTTTAGAAATAATGTTTTAATTATGTTAGGTCTTCTCGTCCTCTAGATAAATTTTATAGTAACGCTGTTTGCTCGATTCAATCCACAGAGTTTTTAAACCATGCGCGCAAATTATTTATGTTTTATGCCTATAGAAGACCCTCCCTGCTTTAATTAAATTGTCGTTAAAACTTAAGGTACATATTCTTTGATGTTTTTCCTACAAATATAAGCAAAAAATCACATGTTTTTGTTTGCTGATGATTGCGAGATTAAGTGGATTTAAATGTATATTTTTGGTCTTGATGATTAAAATTGTGAAGTTATTTTTAATTATACTAACTCTCTTAGCAGAATCATGATTAGCAGAAGCAGCTAAAATATTCTTAAAGTATTAGTATTAAATTTTTTGTGTAGTGTAGACCAGAGCGTAATGACTAACTTTTCCCGGTAAGAAGCGAGGAATAGAAAAAGATTAAGTTTCCAGAAATATTCTGTTAAAAGAGGATTTTTTTAATCTTTCTGAATAGGCGAATTTCCAAAAAAAAAACCCAATTCCTCTATAAATAGCAAAATATCAGAAAAATTAATTCTTCTCTATTGCTCGTGTCAATGAGATGACAAAAAAGAATTAAGAGTTTCTATTTTTTTGAATGCGCAAAATTTTTCTGCTTCTCAACATTCCAAAAAAATTGAAGAAAAAGGTTAATTACTACAATTTACGATTCAAAAAAGAAAAAAAAACGCTTCATCCCTTCTTTATTAACTGTTATTATTAATAATAAACATCTCCGAAAAAAAGTTAAAAAATCACAAGAAAATCGTCAAAAACAGTCTTTTTTAGTAAAACAGATAAAAGATTTGTTCTCATTACTTTTAGGTTTTGTAAACAAGAAACTGTCGTCTCGGTGCAGTATTATGCTCGATGTTTCGAGTACTCGAAATTGTCGAGTACTCGAGTGACTTCGAGTACTCGATTAAATTCGAGCACTCGAGTGAATTCGAGTACTCGAATTTTTTGAGTACTCGAATGGATTCGAGCTTTTGACTTACTAAAAAAACTATTAATAAGTAAAAAATTTCGAATTTATTTGAATTACTGAATCAATATTTCTATTTGCTAAATATAATAAATCCGAAAATTCTATGAATTTTCTCTAAAACTCGAATTTACTCAAGAGCTCGAAAAAATTCGAGTACTCGAATTAACTTGAGTACTCGAAACTATTCGAGCTTTTTGCACAACTCTAATTCGTTTGTTAAATCGCGCCGATACCCCGTCTTGACCAACTCAACCCTAAGAAAAAAAACTATTTCCAACAAGATAGGACAGAAAATTGACTGTGTTAAAAAAATTTCATTAATTTTATAAAATGTTAAAACTTTTATGAGAATCTGTACTTTACAACAAAAAAAAAAAAATATTAACCGTTTCTTTAAATTTTTTGTTATTTTTTTTTGCATTAACAAAATATTATAACATTTATAAAAAAAATTAATAGTTCAAAAGCCGTTTAAAATATATTAATGTAACTTACAATAATTAAACAAAATTGTTCACTCTTTTAAATGAAAACATTTGCATAATTGTAAATTTAAAATTTTCATATTTTTAATAACAATTTCAAAGCAAATTTTCTTAAAATGTTCTTTTGTTTTATTATTTTTTTATATAAGTTTTAAGATTTTAGAAAATCAATAAAAAATTTTTTAACCAGTTGAGCTAATCTAGCCCAAAAACTTAAAAAAATAAAAAGTTTCTATGAAAAAATATTGTAGAGAAAAGTTGTTTATATTTTTCTAATCTAAAGTAATATAAAGTAATTCAATATAAATATTGAATTTTGAAAATTTTTAAACTACTGTACTTTGTGTACTTTTCGACGAAAATGGCTGGCTAAAGAACTCGATCTGTATTCTAACACTAACTTTGTGCATGTAAAGTTGTAAGATGACGCAATAAGTCTTTCAGGAGTTATCGTAGGGACACCATTGTGTCTACAGACAGACACTTTTTCTAGACCATGTTTTTCGGACTCAGAGGACCCCCAAACGTCGAGACTTCATGAAATTAGCGAAATTCAATTTTCTACCAAAACTAATACTTTCTCATTATTTTGATGATAACGTCAAAATTGATTTTAATAATGAGTGATATCGTGGCAGTTTGGCAAGTTCAGACAAATTTAGTGCAAAATAAATAAAAACTTTAGGATAAAGTGCGGATAGATTCCTCCCAATTCGAAAATTACATCTAAATTCAAAATATAATTATTAATATTTTTTAATGACTATGCACAAAGATTAAATAATTAGCGTATGTAGTGTTATAGTTGGTTACTTTTCAAGTTTTAATATTTGAGACAATTTTGCAATTCATTGCAAAATTAATCAAATATTAATAAACTTTGAAATTTCCTTTAAATTGTAATTTTTTACACTCACTTCTTGTGCGTGATGAAATAATAAATTTTGTCTCTTTATCTCACATAATATAATTTAATGTATATTATGATTCTGTCTAATATATTTTACAATATATTAGATAGAATACCGAATATAACATTAAAGAATATTATAAAAGTAAATTCATTAATTTTTATTTAGCTTTAAGATTGTGTCTCTCGCTCGACTAACTCTCGCTCTCAAGATACACAACGTGAACGTGTACGTTCTCCCATTTTAAGGCGAGAACAGAATAAAGTGAACGCGAACGTATGACGTCACCCATTTGAATCACATTGTGACGTCATACGTTCGCGTACACGTTGACGTTCGCGTTCCCATGGATTCGCAAGGCGAGAACAGAATAGCCTACGTGAACGTTGACGTGCTGACGTCACCCATTTGAATAGCATGGGTGACGTCATACGTTCGCGTACACGTTCACGTTCACGTAGGCTATTCTGTTCTCGCCTTTAAGTAGAGTCTACATTGGATGAACGCGAACGTTGCCGTGCTGACGTCACCCATGCTATTCAAATGGGTGACGTCAGCACGTCGCGTCACGTTGATCGTGCTCATTGTAGACTCTACTTTAAAACCTCAACCGTACCGCGCTTGCGCGGAACGGGTGGGGGCAATTTACGCGCTGGTTGTCTCTTGCCAAGGTGGAAGGGATGTCGCGAATGCGACTCAGTAGAGGAGCATAAATACCGCGCATTTTCCCTGACCCGCTCTCTTACCTCGCCAGCCTTCGACGAAGCAACATGTCTCTCACACCGATCGGCTCTGCAATCTGAAGCTGTTTATAGCGTCAAGGACAACTTGCTGCCGTCAGACACTATTTCTCTCGCACCTTTGATCCAGTCACTTACCACCACACAGTGACCGGTATCAGTAGCTTTAAAATTTTGCAAATTGAATCCAGCAACTAGCATTTCTACAAAATTGATTTAGAGAACAAGACGACGTAACATAATTTAAATTGAACTTCACTTCAGGTAAGTTTTTTCATCGTACAATTTTCCTACCTACGAATTTCCATGCTACAGGGTGACATCCACCTAGTCGAGTGGTTAGTCGACTATTGAGAGATTCACATAAATTATTGGTCCTTTGAGGAAGGTGCCCTACGCATAATTTATGTTTCCTTTTGCCCCAATAATTTCTCATATAATTAACAAATTTGTTTAAATTTGTCCTTATATTTTCATCATGTTCCTTTATTTTCTTTTGTAATATCTTCAAGCCATCTTCAAATCTATCGGGGGGTGCTAGTGCCAAACAACACGCAAAGTCCAAAATTTCACTTTCCACATCTTTTAACCCATTCTCCCTCCAATATTTACGTTGAGACTAAAAAATGACATAAACCCATTAACGTCCACCTATCCAAATTTTGTTATCCAGAATTCAAGACAAAAAATTGAACCCTAAATAATTAAACTCTTAAATTATTTAAAAATTCACAAATAGTAAGTTTTAAATCAAACTGATAAACTTAAAATAGTCCGATGTATGGGATCCGACATTAATATTATTAAAAAATTAAAAAAAAATTTTGGTATAAATAAAGAGCATATTTTTAATCCGTTGACTGTCGCTGACGCATATATGCGCAAAACTGAACTGGCCAAATGTGTTAAAGACGCATCTATATGTGCTAGGGGAGTTTGCTGGGAGTTGGCCACTACTGCGAGTTGGACACCCATTGATATTTCGAGAATGCGTAAAGTTTATCCCAGAATTAAAATTGTAATATGTTTGTCTTATTGATAAGATATATATATTTGTTTTGAAAAAATACTTGCATTATTTAAGATTCTTATAAAAAAAACATTTTTTTAGTGTAAGAATTTTTTTGAAAAGTCTAAAAAAATCCTGTCAATTCTGCGAATTGGACACACCTTTTCGCTGGGAGTTGGTCATGATTTATATGCTGGAGATTTCTTTTGTTTTCAAATTTAACCTATTTTATGTTTGTAAACATTGCAAAATATTTTATTCAAAATTTATAGTTTATAATGTGTAAAATACAATATATTTTATAAAATACAAAATTTTGCATGCAATTTTTATTACAAGATGTTTTATTTAATTTTTATGCTTTTTGAGTGGATTTTGTCAGGGTGTCCAACTTGGAGCAAAGAAAAAAAAGTCCACAAATCATCTTATTAAAAAATTGGTTACATTTTGAAAGTTTTTTCAAAAATTAAATTGCCGCCTTTACAGAAGTATAGATAAGCTCTCTGGCTTTTAAACAAGACTTTAAACATGTCGATATCTCAATTTACTGAAAAGTTATAACCGAAAAACAAAACTATGTCCAACTCGCAGCAAACACCCCTACTTAAAAAAGGTGATTAAAAATTTATTAAATGTTCCTGAAACCGGTTACTCGGGGGTTTTCGAGGTCGCTGATTACAAATATAACATTCGTTTTCCAAAATTCAAAATGGCGGATCCAATATGTCCGACAACAAAATAAAAAAATTGATCAGATTGACTTGCAACGTAATACTTGGAGATTTTTGGGGTCGCTGATTACGCATCTGACATCAGTTTTTCAAAATTCAAAATGGCGGAAATTTTTACAAAATTCGTCGAATTTGCTTAAAACTTGTTACTCGGGGGGTTTAAGGGTTGCTGATTACGAATCTGTCATTAGTTTTTCAGGGAATTTAACAAAATTCGATTTCACCAAAAATTATCATACTGATGTCAGATTAACCAGTTTCAAACAAATTGAATAAACTTTAAAAAATTTTCCGCCTTATTGAACCAGATATATTGAATTTTGAAAAACTGATTTCAGATTCGTAATCAGCGACCCTGAAAATCCCAAATTATTAAGTTTCGAGCCAATCTAATCAATTTTTTATTTCGATGTCCACCATATTGGATCCGCCATTTTGAATTTTGGAAAACTACTGTTAGATTCGTAATCAGCGACCCTTAAAACCCACGAGTAACAAGTTTCAAGCAAATTCAACGAATTTTAAAAAAATTTCCGCCATTTTGGATCCGCCATTTTGAATTTCAAAAAACTGATGTCAGATTCGTAATCAATTAAATCCCATATATATGTTAAACATGTGAACTCCAAATACGAATTAAGGTTCAAAAGTCTGGTCGTTTAAAGTTCATATTTTTATCTTCAATTAAAAAAAATGTGATAAGAGTCTTTAGTACATTAAGATACTTCCTGTCTAAATCTAAAACAATCAGAAGTGAGTCATTGAATTTAAATCAGTAAAAATTTCCTTTGTTTAAACCACGTAATATTTATTAATTCACAGTGAAAAATACGAAGTGAAAATGACTGGTTTACTCATTGAGAAATAAGTCACTGAATTAAATTTAGTGAAATTATTTCTAAATCAGATTATTGAAATAAAAAAATTTAATTAAAAGTTTAAATATATCATTTTTAGACATTAGTAAAAACCAGTTTTTGCAGTGTTGTTACCTTTGAGCTGTGAAACCAGCAAAAATAGGTCACACTTTTGGGAAACAATAATTCGATTGTTGTATGAAGTGCAGCCTCACAATCTGCCATTACATATTGCAAGTTTACTATTAATGATGGGGCCATTTCTTGTATTTTTGAGATGACAGCTTTATAGAGTTTTCCGCATTTTCTCGTCATCAAAATAAAGACAGCACCAACGCTCTATGATATTTTATATTATTTATAATGTTCAAACTATTTATATGTAGATATCGAAATAATTTCACTCACAGTTTTCAGTAAATTGACTTACCTCCACTGAGTAAACAATCATAAGAATCTCTTAATTTAGAAAATAAAAAATAAATTTAATTTTTTTCATACTTTCTCTACCAAAATAAAATAACATAAGAAGTTGTGAAACAAGATTTGGCAAAAGAGTGATGATGTTTTAAAAAACATTAGGAAATTCTCAAATAAAACATTAGCACACTGGAATTAGCGTTATTGTTAAATGTCAATTACTTCTGGTATTATTTAGAACCTGAAACTGTTGTACAAGATAGAAATTAAAGAAATGTATTTTTAACTATTTTAAATACTACAGTTTTTAAGTTAAAAATAATTAAAACTTGTATTAATAAACAAGTTGAATTTAATAAAATAATATTTCCTGTAAACGGGGCGGTATTAATACTAAACAAATAAACTCTACACAAGAAAATTCTACACCGCTAACTGTACACGAGAAAACTCAACAGAATTTTAAAAAAATAATGCTACACAAGTAAATACAACATCCTAGAACCCTACACAGGAAACTGAAAAACTCTCACCGTAAACTGCACACAAATAAACTCTACACATTTATGTAAAAGTGAAAATAACATTTTCAAATAATTCCACACAAATAAATCCTACATTAGTAAACTCTACACAGGGGTGCTATTTTGTAACTTCACTTCACATTCACTTGAATGTAAAGTTAATGTGGAGTGAATGTAAAGTAAATGTGAAGTGAAAATGAAGTGGATGTAAAGTGAAAGTGAAGTGGATGTAAAGTGAATGTGAAGTGAATGTGAAGTGAATGTGAAATGAATGTGAAGTGAAATTGAAGTGAAAGTGAAGTGAATGTAAAGTGAAAGTGAAGTGGATGTAAAGTGAATGTAAAGTGAAAGTGAAGTGGATCTAAAGTGAAAGTGAAGTGGATGTAAAGTGAATGTGAAGTGAATGTGAAATGAATGTGAAGTGAATGTGGAGAGAATGTGAAGTTAATGTGAAGTGAAATTGAAGTGAAAGTGAAGTGAATGTAAAGTGAAAGTGAAGTGGATGTAAAGTGAAAGTGAAGTGAAAGTGATGTTAATGGGGAGTGAAGGTGAAGTTAAATGTAAAGTGAATGTAAAGTGAATGTGAAGTTAATGTGGGGTAAATGTCAAGTGAATGTGGAGTGATTGTAAAGTGAATGTGATGTAAATGTGGAGTCAATGTGATGTAAATGTGGAAGCAATGTGGAGTCAATGTGAAGTGAATGTAAAGTGAATGTGAAATGAATGTAAAGTAAATGTGAAGTGAAAGTGAATTGAAGTTATACAATAGCACTCCCTCTAAAAATTAATTAATGAATTTTTTTATAATACTACGTAATTAAATTCTACACATGAAAATTGTCATTAATCATTTTGGTTTACGTCTAAATTTCTGCACAATTAAACTCAACATTTGTAAATTCTACACATAAAATGAAACTTAATAAACCCTACACAAGTCAATTCTACACATTATGTGAAAATTGAACTCCACACGAGGTGACTGTACACACGTGTCATTTGTTGTTTAAAATTATTTTGAAAACACTAGACCAATTAAAATTTAAATAAACAATTAAATTCATTAAGAACTAACTTTTTTAACAATTAAATGTCGTTACTAAGGAGACAAAAGAGAAACATTTTCAAAACAACAAATGACACATGTGTACAGTTACCTCGTGTAGAGTTTAATTTTCACATAATGTGTAGAATTGACTTGTGTAGGATTTATTAAGTTTCATTTTATGTGTAGAATTTACAAATGTTGAGTTTAATTCTGTAGAAATTTAGACATTAACCAAAATGATTAATGAAAATTTCCATGTATAAAATTTAATTGTGTATTATTATAAAAAAAATTCATTAATTAATTCTTAGAGCTGTATAGACTTTACTAATGTAGGATTTATTTGTGTAGAATTATTTGAAAATGTTATTTTCATTTTTACATAAATGTGTAGTGTTTTCTCGTGTGCAGTTTACGGTGAGAATTTTTCAGTTTTCAGTTTCCTGTGTAGGGTTTTAGGATGTTGTATTTACTTGTGTAGCATTATTTGTTTTAAATTCTGTTGAGAGTTTTCTCGTGTACAGTTAGCAATGTAGAATTTTCTTGTGTAGAGTTTATTTGTGTAGTATTAATACCGCCCCACTGTAAGCTTATTTTAAGTAAAATCTGAAAATAATCAATAAAAAAGTCACGGTGTAATAACAAGCAAAAATGTAATTTACCACACAAAATTTACTTTTGCCACTCTTTTAAGAGAAGTTGAAAAGAGTTAAACTATTGACACATTATTTTATTATGAAAAGTTTTCCTTTCAGTTGAGGCATTGAAAAAAAAATTTTATCATACAAATTTCCTTACAATAAAAAAAATCGTATATCAAAACTATAAATTGTTTCGATTTATTAAAAAAAATCTATTTAATAGTGTTGGCTTCAAATTTGACTGAAAACTGAATATGTATATTTTTACGTATATTAAATCTTTCTGAATACCTTATTCATTATTCTCATGACTATAATATATAGTTGGTAGATATCCGCTAACCTTGGACAAACCTTTCAGTAAAATATCAAAATAAATATAGTTAAGATTAAAAGAATTATACTACTCCGTTTATCATCAAACAAGGCCATATTTTGTGTAAAAAGTTATAAATAAAAATTGTTTTCTATA